TATTATGATGATGATGATGATGTGGCAGATTCGTTTTCTACATGGAAGTCTAATCTCCTCCGAAGACCTTTTCTGGGGATCGTCGATAGATGGTTTTTCAATAGGAATCGTTTCCCTCGGATCCTCAAGAGATAGAGGGGGGTCCTGTCTTGAGACATGGAGCGGTCTCTCCTCCTCCTCCTCCTCGAGAAGTCTTGAGAAAGGGAGAGGATTTTCGGTTCCCTTATTCTTGAGGGGTCTTGACAAATTGAGAGGTCCCTCATTTTCGAGGGGTCTTGATAAATGGAGAGGTTTTTCATCTTCGAGGGGGTTTGATAAAGGAAGAGGTCCCTCCTTCTCGAGGGGTCTTGAGAAAGGGAGAGGTTTTTCATCTTCGAGGAGGTTTGACAATGGGAGAGATCTCTCCTTCTCGAGGGGTCTCTCTTCCTCAAGGGGTTTTGAGGAAGGGAGAGGTTTTTCATCCTCGACGGGTTTTGACAAACGGAGAGGAATCTGAACAGGCTTCTCCTCATCCCCATCATTATCGAGGAGGATGAGGATAGGCTTTTGGAAAGGTTTTTTCTTTTTCTTCTGAACAGGCTCCTCTTGATGCTCGGGGAGAGGGATGGGGTAGTTGTTCCACCATTCTATTTTTTCTTGCTCGAGGATTTTTTCAAAAGTCGTGGCCTCTCTCTAAGATGAGACGAAGGAGGAGAGTCCTCGAGAAGAATATAATAGGTATTCTTCCCAGTCTTCTCGATCGAGAGAGGTTCGTGCAAACATTTGTGCAACCATTCACTAAAATGAACGAGAATCCCTTTTGTCTTCTCAAGACGATCCATAATCCTATTCATTTGCGAGACGGTTAGAAAGTGGGACGTGTAAAAATATTTGGCTCGTTTCATTAACAAAATTTGTGCATCCAAAGGTGGAATGTCACGAGCCATCAACACGTTTTCGTCGGACAAAAATTCGTCCCGCATCTTTTGATAACTCCCCACGGTATAATAACCCGCACATTTTGAAAAATCGGAGGCTTTCAGGTAAACGACTCCTTGGATGATATAAAAGGAAAGATCAACATATTTATATTTGAAAGGAATACACGTAGTGAGCTGGGGATGCCTCCTCATGATCCACTTGGACAAAAATACGACTTTGGGGCTCTCCCCTTTTATTTATAGAGAGAAAGAGAGTGTGACCTTCCCTTCCCTCCTCCTCTCTCCCTGCTTCCTCTATCTCTGGACGTCCTTGGATTGGAAAGGGTGACTTTGAAAAAAAAAGAAGGTCATGGTTGGATAATTTTTTGTTTATTAAATTATTACTTTCACTTCCTCATTCCCACACACATTCATCTTTTAAGAAAAGAAAAAGAGGTCATGGAGATAAGATTTCTTGGAAAGAAGAGAGAGAGAAAACAAAAAAAAAACAAATAAAACGGACGTCATAGAGCCTCTATGTGTGTCTGTGTGTGTCTATATAGATATATAAAAAGACGAGAGTACTGGGCGAGATCATTTCTTTTCCATTGGGAGCCATGTCGCTATTAGACGTTTTTCCAACTCAACGGATTTCGAACGGGGAGGATTTGAAGACGCTAAAGCAAATCTCCAACTTGAAAATTTTTTTGGCGTGTCATTGTGCGACATTTATTCCGCATTTACCACCTCATCAAGCGATCGTTTCTTTCAACCAAGATGTCGAATCCTCCAACCTGCTCGTTCAGAATATATACAGAAATTTATTCGAATCGCAACAAACGAAAGAGGAATCTCCCTTCTCTTGGAATCGGATGGATCGAGCTTTGAGACGGCCCATTCAAACAGACCGGCGATATACGGATCCGCGCACGAGTTTTCGGTGGAAGAATATTTTTCTCACGAAACGATATTTTACGTTTGGAGTGAGAACGACGGCTGAGGACGAAGTTCATATTGTTCAAACCACAGCCGCTCCTCTCGCCTATTACGAATCATCGTCCCCCAATCTGAAGGAAAGAAGTTTTAAAGTCAGCGACAGGATGAAATATAAGAAATATATTCTAAGACCTTTTCAAAACTATGTCGTTCCCCCGAAAACGCAATATCTCATCGTCACAACCCAGAAGAGTCTCTTTCTCGTCGATCGGTGCTCGTACTCGCTTTGGAAACAATTGAAAGAGGAGATTTCTTTCCAATCGCCGATGATGTTTCAAGAAAAAGAAGAAGAAAAACCCTCCGCCACCTTTACCCATCCCTTCCTTAGATGATAAGAGGAGCTGGACCAAACCGTCATGGCCCGAAACAAAATCGACCCGGCAACGGAATGAAATTGAAGTCATCACAATTGAAGATGAGGAGGAAGAAAAAAAATTACCTCTTAAAAAACGGTCGACTTACCGGAACCTACCTGGCGTGCAAGATCCGCTTCAGAATCCAGAAGCTTCTTCTTCTTCTTCTTCCCGACTTGTTCAAACAGGCAACCTCTTTCGGACTCCTCACAGACAGAACCTCTTCCAGTATCCTCTTCTTCTTCTTCTCTCCAACCTGTCCCGACATCGTAGAGGTAGAATGTCAGACGGGTCCACAAGTTCCAACGGGTCCAGAAATCATGGAGGCAGAATCACAGCCGGGTTCACAAGTTCCAACGGGTCCAGAAATCGTAGAGGTAGAATTTCAGCCGGGTAAACAAGTTCCAACGGGTCCAGAAATCATGGAGGTAGAATCGCAGCCGGGTCCAGACATCCTAGATCCCTCCACTCATCCCAAAGAGACTCCAAGTGTTTCAAGACAGCCTTGTGAGGATCCAGCCCTTCCCGTATGGAATGATTATATGGACTTACAAAATTTGGTGCAACAGGAAGGAGAAGAAAATAATCATACGGATGGGTGGGTCAAAGACTGTTTAGATCATTTAACCTCGAATGAAATTGAACTGTTATGGAATTGCATTTCTGAAATCACATCGGAAATGGGATAAAAACCAAAACAAAAAAAACAATTTTTTTAATAACAAATTGGAGGAGGGTCATGATGTCAATTAAAAAAAATATTATATAGAGTCCAATCTTGGTGGTTCACTTCAGTTTTCCAGCATGAGGTGATCCACGTTTCCCGAAATATGGATCCCATTCCAAGAGAGATTGTGTAGAGCCTTCACTTTAATTTTTTTTTCCAAGAGGAGAGGGTCCCCAAAGGGCTACCCATGTCCAAAGAGAGAAAGTGTAGAGCGTTCATTTCAGTTTTTTTCCAAGTTTAGGGGAGGGAGGTCTCAAAATGACACCCCCCCATTTTCAAAGAGAGATGGTGTAGAGCGTTCATTTCTGTTTTTTTTCCAAAGTTAGGGAGTTTTCAAATGGCTACCCATTTCAGAGAAAGAGAGAGAGAGAGAAGGTGTAGAGCGTTCATTTCAGTTTTCCAAGGTTAGGATGGTGGTGGAGAATCCTCCAAAATGGCTACTCATCTCAAAGAGAGAGAGAGAGAAAGCGTAGAGCGTCCATTTCAGTTTTCCAACATTAGAAGGTCCCAAAATACCTTCTGAATTCAAAGAGAGATCGTGTAGAGCGTTCATTTCCAGTTCTCCAAGATCAGAAGAAGAGGGTCCGCTTTTCCCAAAAGGGCTTTCCGCATTCAGAGACAGCGAAGTGCAGACTTCAGTTTTCTCCCTCCCCAAGAATAGAGGGTCCCAAAATGGCTTTCCCATTTCAAAGAGAGAGGGAGAGGCGTTCATTTCCATTCTCCAAGATAGGGTCGTCTGCTTTTTTCCCAAAATGGCTTCCCAATTCAAAGAGAGAGAGAGAGAGAGTGAAAGGGTGTGTAGAGCGGTCATGTTCATTCTCCAAGATAGGGTCGTCAGCTTTTTCTCAAAATGGCATCTCCCCATTCAAAAAGAGATCGTAACCAATTTTTTCCAGTTTTTTCCAAGATGGGGGGGAGAAGAAAACCTAGGATGGAATAACACGACACACAGAGAGAAAGAGAAAAAAAAAACGCCATCTTGTCATTTTCTGATAGGGTACCGGTGTTCGAATACTTTTGTGACCGACTGTACTTTTATACTGGGAAAACATTTAATTCGAATGTTCCCTTTTTTTTGTCAGCCCGGGAAAGAAGATCACCCCCTTTCTCCAGAAACTCTTTAAAAATTCAAGACCCTCCAGAGGAGCTTTTGCCCCACCCTAGCTACGCCTTTGCCAAAGATACGTCAGAATAAGAATTTATCTTTTCATTTTCTTGATCAAACGTATTTTGATCCGTTTTCGGATCTTAAATGATAAAAGATCTATAATATCACGATCAATAGCTTCTAATTTTGTAATTTTCTTCATTAATTTCTTCTGGATCTATCAGTTTAGCTTTTAGAGCTTCATCTAGCCCGGAGGTTCTGAGTCGGTGTTTCGCAAGAGAAAAATAGGTGGTACGCAAAGAAGCAAATTATTTTTAACAATTAAATTCAAAAATTAAAACCTCAGCATCCCGATTGAGTTTTTTCTCTAAAACTCGTAAATTTATGAAATCTGAGCCTTATTCAAGGGTAATTATGGTTGTCCTGTTTGGGGTTATGCATGCAAAACAAATATCCATAAACTTCAAGTACTGCAAAATACAACCCTTATAGACAGAAAATTGTCAGGAAATAATTTTCTGTTTTCATTTACTTTGTTATGCTTCTCTGTACTCATTGATGTTCAAACATGGTTTATACTTTAGGATTTATTTATGTGCATCTCAAGTAATCTATTAGCATTTTCTTGTATGCCCTCATTGATACCTAAATTACTACACTTATGCAGTGTAAATGTTTTTTAAGCACGTGCTTCGTACACTAGATACCCATGTGTGAAAGGAACAATCATAATAAACTTCAAATCATGATGATAGAACTTACATGGTTAAAAACTTTTTCTGCCTGTCTTTTTAGTGACTAAAAATATTTCAATTGTGATATCACAGTGGCAGTATAGTGTACTAGACGATATCTTCTAGTACACTATAGTGACAGGCTCTCCTTAGAGATTCTTTGCCTGGAAGGCAGAAAGATTTAATCGATGCAAAGTAAGACAGTTGTCTTCGTTTTGTCTACCTAACTGCTGGCGATTAAATGCCAATACTGCTGTTTTTCCTTTTTAATTCTTTTGACAATGATACATAGTTTGTTTATTATAAATCCTTCGGGGTAAGTTCACAGATATAAGATATTTGAAAGTATGATATATACTCTGATCCATTTGTCCAAATCAAATAACCAGTGTAATTTTCTTATGTATTTTGGTACTACTTGAAATCTGCCTTTTTCAGCCAATAAATGGGAAATTTACATCATTCAGTCTGATTTCAATTTAAGTAAATAAATTTTAAACGATGACTTATTCTATAAATATGCAAAATAGGGAAAATATTAGCGCTAACCATCCAGTTGTAACACTTTCTTCTAAGTTAATATCAGAAATGTGTCTTATTTTATTTATTTCAGGTATTTGATACTGGTATGCTGAAATAATGAAATTTACATTAGAACAGGAAAAAAAAAAGAAAACAATTTTGAGTTAAATGCTTAAATAAATTGAATCTCATAAATGAATATATGAATCATGAGTTTGTTTTGTTCAATTTCTTAAATCTAGTTTAAAATTCGAAAATTGCCGATAAATACCATAGTTTTATAAATTGCACCATTATTATTTAATCGTTACAGTTTTTCGTGTATCTTGATCCGTTTTGCAAATTCTTCCAATATCATTCATCTGATAACAAATGCTGAGGAAACTAATATTTCTAAAATTACTCATGAATAGGATATGAAGTTTTATAGAAGAGTATTAGGGGAGAAAGTGCAGAATCGCCCACTGCTTGGCGCGTTTTTAAGAATTGCACGTACTCGGTATCCATGTACATACACATCGACCTATTTTCACTTAAAAAATTCAAAGAAAATTGACAAAAATCCAATTCTTCTTACTCTTGTAAAAAGTGCCAAACAAACGCCAGACAAATAAGTGGGTGATTCTGCACTTTAACCGTATTAGGTATTCAAAACTATTATGTGTATTAAAATATTTTGTGTTTTATTTTTACTTAGGAATACCTTTACTATTGATAATTAACCTTTACAATAAATATCTCAATTATAGTTTTCTTAATGAACTTTTATAATCTTGTAATATATCTTTTGCATAGTTTAATTTTTGAATCTGGCATTAATCAAATCATAGCTTTTGATTATTTTTTACTAATTCAATAGTAATATATTTTCATGTTTAAAAAAATTATGCAAAATGTCATAACTATTTGCTTTAATTTAGCGATGTCTTTATGGAAAAGCATTGGAAAAGTGTTATTCATCGATCTGTGTGTGATTATTTCTTTGATGCACAGAGAAAAGCTTCATCTCCAGATGATATCCAACCCATCATAGCCACTCCACATCATTACCTCATCAGTATATATAGGCGAAATTTATTCTTTGTTGCTGTAACTACTTCGGAAGGTAATACTGAAAACTGAATTATAATTTCTCCTTCCTAAAATATATAGATGCATTTTTATTATTTTCTAAAAAAAATATACATACAACTAGTTTTTCAAATTCATGAAATCTGATATCAAAGCTTTCAATCATATTTTTAAATTCCGAAATATATTTTTCAATGTTATTTACATAGCTAGAGTGGCTTACATTTGCATTTATATGATTGACTTTTTTTCTTAAAAATGTATTGCAATTTACCTGCTGAAATCCTTACCTTTAGAATAATCAAACATATGTCATGAATACCAATAAATGACATTGGTGAAGGGAGTATTAAATCAGCATATTTTGTTAATAATATTTATTAATTCAAAAGGAGTCACAGAAAAAATAGATATTAAATTTGTTTTATTATCTTCTCATTAATGGTGTGTGATTGTGTCCAGCCAAGTGTTTATAATTTGGTATGTATACAGAGAAGATAATATAATGAATCTTCAGTATCGGAATTAGTAAATAGGTGGAGATCTTTTCTAGATCTAGATCTTTGTGAACTTTATGAAAAATCCAATTCATCTGAGTGGGAAGATTCCAAACAAGAGTAGGTATATTTGCTACGATTGGTGATTTCAGGATACCTTTTTGATCAATTGACTTCAGTTTTTAGAGTAATAATTTAATTTTCTAATACTTTTTTTCACTTTTAAATGTTTAGAAATTTTAGCGGCTGTACCTTTTACCTTTAAAATCTCTTTTAAAGGAAAAGACATACTATAGCATAACTAAATTTTTCAAATTCACGAAATCTGATATCTAAACTTTCGTTGTATTTTTAAATTCTGAAATGTATTTTTCAATGTTATAATTACAATTTTGATGCTTTTGTAGGCAATTAAACCAGGCTTCCCATGCCTGGGTTTTTCTTGCCATATCTGGTTTGATAGGTTTTCTTCACAAAAACATCTCATGGCTTGGGGTTTTTTTTTTTGGTAATTTAAGTCAAATTAATTTTTTTTTTTCATGTAAATTCAACAAAACTTAATGCATTCAATAACAGTTTACAATTTTAATTGTATATTCTATCAATACTGATCATAATTTGTAATGTTTCATGCACAAAATACTATAGATAATATTGTACAAAGTAGACGTACTATAGCTATTACTGCAGAAAATAGATGTGCTATAAATACTACTGTACTGTAGGTACTGTTGTACAAAATACTACATATGTGAAAAGATTTCCAACTTTTGGCTAGTTTCTACACTATAGTTTTGTTCGTATTATTAACATGTTACATGTGTGGCATATTAAGCAGTCGGAAAGCAGTCTTTTGTGATCGTTCATAGGATTATTGTGTTACAGGGTGTTTCATACTGAAAAGGATAAAAAGGAAGCAAATCTGTGAATGTTGTAATTACTTAATTTTGATAAATCAAATTTACAGTGAAACTATAGTTATTCAAATTTCTGTAGATGTTATATGTGAGCCCCTTTGGTGACATGGCAAATATTTTTGACATAATCCAGTTCCTGCCACACTCATGATGAAATATCCTTTATATAATATATATGATGTGAGCACTTCAGTTATCCATCTGCTGCTTCAGTTACTATAAGTTTTGGGGACATGGAAGCAGAAGCGTAGCTAGAGTTTTCAGCGCCCGGGGTCAACTGAAGATTTTGCATCCCTTTCTGTATGCTAAGAGTGGAAAACATTTCATTCTAAAATTTCATAACATCAATTTGGCGTCCCCTGGGACAGCTGTCCCTCCTTGCCCCACCCTAGCTATGCCACTGCATGGAAGCACAAACAGTTTAAGAAAACCCCATAGGAAAAAAAAAGCCACAAGGGGCAAGATCTAGTGATTTTGGTGGCTAATACTGCTGCGGCATATTGTTCAGTCCAGCACGGCCAATCCAGTGATGTGGTAGACTATTGTTTAAGTACAGGTGTACGTTTTATGCCAATGGTGTACATTTTAAGTCAATGGTACAGGTGTACATTTTATGCCTGTTCTTGCTGCAGAATTCATCCAGTAAATGCTTTCTCAGAACTACTCTTATACACGCCTTCGGTTGGCGGAAAACTCCACGGCACCACATCATTATCTAAATTTTTTGTCTACATTTCTAACTTTAAGCCTAAAATGTTTGCAAAAACCACATTTTTAACACACAATTTATGCCAAAAATCTGAAACAAAAACAAAAAATTTAGATAGCAAAAACGTAAAGTTTCTAACCAAAAATATTTGACAAGAATCCATGTACACAGCGATCTGTTTAAATAACAAAAAAATCAGAGAATTGCACAATTTATGCAGCGTAGGAATTATGCACACCCTCGCTAAAATAAATTAACATAACAACAATAAATTTCAAATAATACCATGTACACAGCATTCCGTTTTAACTTTAAAAAAAAATCGGAGAATTGCACAATTTAGGCATCGCACACAGTTTCGTCATTGCGCACAAATCAACAAAATAAACTAAAATAGCTAAAATAAATTACAAACAGTTCAAAATACAACAATAACGAGAGAAATTCATAGAAAAATAAAATGCACTTACCGTTGGTGAATGCTTCTTCAAACAGCAGAAATATCAATTTCAAACGTTAGCAAAACTCATCAATTTCACCACTTTATCCTTCCACCCTATCTCCTGAGACACAGAGTATGCGAAGTCCAGCATACAAAAATCTGCATAAAGACACCCGTGAACAAAACACTGTTTAACAACTCTAACATTGTAACTTTTAATACCAAATTTACCTAGTACACAATCCAAAATACACAACTGAAATTTTGCCACCATTTCTTTCATTGCAATATAAGCCATTTCAAAACACACACCATACCAGCCACTCCAGCAAAATAAAATTTCAACATCAAAAGGATTGCCATACAAATAACATCCTGCCAAAAACCATCACAATCACGTTAAAAACCAGCGCAGAACACATATCGCCACATTTGGCGACGCTCTACTTCTGAGGGCGTATATAAGAGTAGTACCACTTTCTAGAACTGAGGGAATAACCACTTAGATAGCATATCTTGGTAAATGCACCCATTAACTGATTTTTCCTCAAAGAAGAAAAGACCAAAAACATGACTGTTGGAAATAGCACAGAAAATATTCATCTTTGTAGAATCATCCTGATGTTTCATTATACTGTGTGGATTTTTCTTTCTCCAAAATCATAAAGTATGGCAATTTACTTCGCCAGAAATGGGAAAGTGGCTTCATTTGTATACACAAATCTGTTTGCGAAACCACCTACCTCCAGCTTATCTTGCAGATTCTAAAAGAAAGGTTTACGCAGCGGTTTATTGGAACTTTTCAATATCTGAAAAATGTATGTCCAGAATTGTAGGTGTTTCTGTAACACATGCCACACCATTACATGAGACACACTGAGTTCAGAAATTGCAGACACATTGATTTTATGGGACTCTGCAAAAATGTTTCACGAATTTTTTCCACTACTTTGTTTTGGCTGCTGCTCTTCCTTGGCTGGTTTTCTGACACAAGCAGCTCGTGTCCTGAAACTGCTGTATCCACCATTCAATGTTGTGATGATGCAGTGGCATTTTACCAAATTTCATACAATAATATCTTTGAGCAAAGATAAACGATGCTGTTTTGGTATATTCAAAAACATAGTATGCTTTCTCTTGCATGGATGGTACTATTTTGTTAACTATATCTCTAGTATTGATTTCATAACTGGAAGATTTTTCGCTGTTGCCAGATAAAACTTCTATAATTGCACTTTGAAAATTGTTTTAGCTTACTGTATCAGTTGCAGAATTTCTAGTGTGCTATTCTTTTTGTCCCATTCAGTATGAAATAGCAGGTATTTGATGTGATATAATAATTTTAAATTATAGTGAGTATGTTTTGACTATCTATTTTATGTTAATGGATTAGTACTTTTTTTTTTTTTTTTATTATTTCATAGACAGTTTTAAAATAAGATAACTACTAACTAGCCATACAAACAATGTCTTAAATGTGTTCCTTACAAAGAAAAATGAGTAAATGGGAGTATACTTAAAAGTTTAGACATAAAAGGTTAGAAGATCTGGAATTTAAAAAATTGATTGAAAAAGACAGTAATGGTAAAAGTGCATTGCACTATAATTATTATGAACTAAAATTATAGAATGGGAATGAAAAAAAAAAAGGTTAAAATATATTTAAGGTGACCCTTGGGGAAAATTGGAAATTGGCCAGCAAGGCACAATTTCAAGATCTATACAAAACCAAAATAATGCGTTTTTAAGAATTGCACAAACTCAGTGTCGATCTATTTTCACTTGAAAAAACATCAGAGAATTACACAAACTCGGCATTGCACATTCCCTTGACCTTTGTCTATGTACACATTAACCTATTTTCACTTTAAAAAAATCAGGAGAATGATGACGTTATATAATGTTAAAACAAAGTTACTCATCACCAAATTTGAACAAAATTTGTAGCCAATCAAAGCTCAATAAACTACATTTTAAATCACACAATGAAACAGCATAAAAAAAATTAAATAATATACAAAATCCTAAATCCAGACGTCCATTATCTGGAATGATCTAAAATCCAGAACTCAAAACCACCAATGATGTTTTTCTCGTAGGCTTTATGCATGTGCATTTGATTCCCCCCTCCGTGCATAATAAAACATCTAGAGACCTGATTCTTAATTTCTTTTCAACACTAAATAAAATACCTTGTTATTGAAGAAACAATCATTTGTACGATCAGTAATTTGGCTCCGTTGCTGCATATCTGCTTGGCACACATCTCTAACTAAAACATTCCACATAGATACATCGTTGATCTGACACCAATCTGGCGAATTATTATTTGTTATATTTTCCTTTCATCTCCGCATGTTTATCAACACATGACAACTTGAGTAATGACTTGAAAGAAATGTTTAATAAGGTAAACAAATAAATATTAAGCTTTTTTTTTTGTAAATTTTGATACCCTTTAGATCATAAATACTTCATTATTTCATAAATCATGATTTCATATTTTTAATTTTATGATTTCTACATGGCCATCTTACTAGATTTAAATTGATGATCTAATATCTGGAAGAATTCCAAATCCATAATCACCGAAGTCCCGACGAGTCCAGATTTCGGACTTTGTACTGTACATCTTATCTTATCGCATATGCACACCACAAAAAGGATATATCGATGTACCATATTTAGAAATTTCTGTGGCACACAAAATTCCTTAACAGCATCCAAAAATTTTAAAAAAATGTTCTGAACTAGAATATGCATACTGCTGTCACTACATAAATTTACAAAAATAAGAGTAAAAAATATCCTCCATAGTTCCGGACTATCGGTAGCATTTCTGCATGAACCTTTCTTTCGTCAAAACCATGTGAATGATTTTTACATTTGGCATACGCATTTCCTTTGTACAAACAGGACACTTATAATGACTGCTAAGTAAACCTTCATTTACACAACAGTCAATTAATGCTTTTTTTCCTTTTTGTTCCAGATTCTGCAGAAACTTCACATTAGTCTCATCAGCCATTTTATGGTGTATGGCACAAAATAAGCAACATGCTTCCTAACTGACACCCAATGCAGAAAGAAGCCTCAAATTCACCGCAGTCACACAGCCAAACACATCATAATAGTGTTTCCATAACATTCAACTACTCAGGTTACCATAAATGAAAAACAATTTGCCGATAATCCAAGGCGTACCCTAAAATATAGACTTAACCATAAATTAGTTTTACTAATCTAAAAAAACTACAGTTAAACATAAAAATAGTGCAAATATTAAGACAAGTTCTGTGTTCGACACGTTCTGTTCAAAAGTAAACCTGTGGAGAAAGAAAAAGTTGCAAATCTGAGCTAACAATTGCTGCCTTATTATTCCATTTGTGCAATGTGATCATCTATAGAAGCATGTAAAAAGAACTTTTCAGGATAGCAATATTTAAAACAAGCTTGGATGAAGGCAATTAAAGTATCTTACCTTATATAAGATAGTGTAGTTTATCATGTTAAGAATGCATTTCACACATGTTCAAAAACAACACATTTCCAATGATAATAGATGTACACATATATCTATATTACAATTTCTAGCTGTTGATATTAGATATTTTGATATTCAAAGACTTGATATTCTAGATGATTTATAATAAAAGATTAAATAATTCTAAATAAGAAGTTTTATCTAATTTTTATGACCAATCTGACTATTCTTCAGCTAGCGCTGAAAGAATAACCTTCCAAGTCAACCATATAAAAGCTAGAGCCACACTCACTTAGACCAGAAACTGAAAGATCAGCTTGTAGAGACATCAGGATTTTTAGGAAGCAGGCAAGATGAAAAATTATTAATCGCCTTTGCCGGAAATCGAACCACGGACCTCTGAAATACCCGCTTAGTGTGCTGACCACTACACCACGAAGGCATGTTAGGAAGGTAGGAGAAATACCTTATAAGCTAATGGTGTAATAAATAGATCTAATCAAAATTACTATATATGTAAACCTAAATTAAAATTGGTGAAACGAGGAACCTGTCATGAAAGATATGAAAATTATTTGAAAAAAATGAGAGAACTTAAAAAAGTATGGAGGGAGCTGAATGGAATGAAAATTCTGATAACAGCTTAATAAAAGACATTTATATGTATTATGTTTTATCTTATTTGGGTTGCTATATTATGATAAGGTTTTAAGGTTTTTTTTTTTATTTATTCAAGTTGCAAACTAAGTTTTTTTTTAATAAGTAGTAGCCCTAGATGCATAGATATGTGCTCACATAGAAAATCCTACATAATTTGAATTTCTTTCATAAAATGGCCTGCCTCTTTGAAATGGTTATTTTTATAAACTAGCATCATAATATAATATATATATATATATAAGGGGTGGGAGAATTTGTTTTCCTTTATTGTGCAGAGAACCGACTGTTCTGTGATGATGTTTATTCTTCACATTTTTTAATGCATTTTGTTTTAGGGTTATAGTCTATTAATCTTGGCATTTTCAAACTTTTCCTATGACCAGTTTTGGTATGTCATTTCTTTAATGCCCTTTCAGTGTAATTATTGGATGTTCACTGGCTGTGCATTATTAATATGTCTTTCCCAAGCCTTCTTTTAACTTCTTGTATTCTAGATTGAATAGAATCTGGTGTTTAAAAAAAAGGTTATCCGAAAATTTTCAGAATTATTTGAAGATATTTTGCCTGGAAGCAGTTTAATAAGTTTTTTTTTTTTAAGATCACAATTTTTTTGTGTATGTAACAAAACTTATTCACAATAGACTTCAAAATTAATACATTTAACTTGAAATAATATCTAAGGCAGTTCTGTGTTTTGCAGTTTTTCTACTTGATTGGGTTTTGTTTATGACAAGGAAACTGTTTACCTAAAGGGATTGATATCTTTATGGAAGACTTTTGAAAGAGTATTCTGAGAGACTTCTTACCTATATTTGCAAAAAAAATTTATTAGTATTACTACTACAGAGAAAGACCTTATACAGACAGTCTACTGAACTGTCTAGAACTAAGCCTGTGGTAAATTAAATATAAAGTAAAATGTTTGGTCATTGTTTGGCCTGTAGCATTTTGTAGAGATAACCATAGCTGAAAGTCTCTGCTTTTTTTTTTTTTAGTAATCTTTAAAGGAAAAGGGAAGATTGGTACTCATTTTCTTAAAATACTGTCCTCAGTCTTATCTAATTAATTTACTAAATATCAAGCTGATGTAATTAATTTTCAATAATTTTTTAAAAATTCTGCATTAAAAAAGAAAAAAAAAATATTTAAAAAATCAGTTTCGTATGAAGCTTTTATAGTGCATTAATATTTTTCAGTATCTCCACTTTTTGTGATAGAATTTCTTCACAGAGTAGTGGATACCTTTGATGATTATTTTGGAGACTGTACCGAATCTTTGATAAAGGAACATTATGTGATGGTATATGAGGTAAGGTAGTAAAATTTAAATAAGATGTGATGCAATTTAGGACTTTTGTATTATTTAATATTTCCATATTGTATAGCCAATCGTTTAATTTTTTTTAATAATGTTTGCATGTATAATGTTCATAAACATTAGACATACAGCCTTTACGTATAAATATAGTACAGTACAAAGTCTTTAATCCGGACTCGTCGGGACTTCGGCGATTCCGGATTAGGGGTTTTTCCAGAGTATAGATCCAATTTAAACTGGTAGAGGCATGCAGAAATTATAAAATTAAAATATGAAACCATAATTTATGAAATAAAGAGCAATTATGATCTAAAGGGTATCAAATTTACAAAAAAAAAAAAAAGCTTAATATTTATTTGTTTACTTTATTAAATCTTCTTTCAATGTAGTTTAAGTTCCTTCTTTTATGAGCTAATACTTTAATTCTATAAACAGACATAATTCTTGTTCAGTTACAAAGTTCCGCTGTTCAAGTCTGTAATTGCTGTGCCGAGAATACCGACTAACTTGTCAATCGAAATTTTTTTGTTTTCACTAACCTCCCTTGTCACTTTTTTCATGCCTTATCCATTTTTTGCAGCAATTCCACTTTTTGTTTGATGACATCGAAAATGCTTTCCTTTGTAGATCCTTCAGCAGCTCCAGAATCGGAAACTCTTTTTGACATAATCGAAAGTTCAAGCTTACTGTTATAAAATTGCTCTAACAGTCTGCAAAAAATAATAAGCCGGATCCAATTAGAAGATTAAAGAACAATGCAATCTGCAACATTAACTGAATTAGATAACTTTAGCCCAACTTATATCGTCTGTTATACATTAAACGCGTATGCGTAAACATATTATGCGCATGTGTAAACGCATGCGCATATGTGTTTACACATGCGTAAAAGGTACGCATGCGCAGAAAGTTTGTAGCTTTAAGGTCCAGATTATAGATCATTCCGGATTATAGACGTCTGGATTAAAGACTTTGTACTGTAGTAGTTTTCAGAAATCTGATAATAATTCTTAAAAATTATCATCCCTAAAGGAGTTATTAGTCTCAAAATTGGATTTTGCATCGGTTCACCATAAATGACGTATCACTTTTAAGATTGTTGCCACCAAATATTCTCACCCTGTACTAAAGAAATTAAAAAAATAAATAGTGAAGAATCTGCATGTATGTCTGTTTATTGCATCGTTAAAAAAAATTACAAGACCAAGAGCCATGAAATTTTGAATAACCTAGTCCTCCACCTGAACATGTGCACCTTGAAGCCCAAATTTCGAATTTCAGGTTAGTTTTATAATTTTTTAATTCATATTTTGGAAACCTTTAATGAATTTTTCAATAAAAAGCTCAACAATTTGAAAACCAGCAGTGGCCACATTGTTGAAAATAGAGCATTTTTATCTCCAGCACATAAATCTGTAGCTATTTAAAAAAATGTAAAATTATATCTTTCGGTTTTAATTAACAAACTCAGTAGTATGAGAACAATATGTTGCTGTCGCTGGATATAAAATACTTTTTATTTTTCACACACCAGCATGTTGCTATTTTTTCAAGCCCAAGTTACTTTCAGATTTAATCTGGATGGTTATTAAGAACAAATTAAGTGATTTAAAAGCAATAAATTAAGAATTTTTTAGTGCTTTTGCATTATTATGACCACCTCAGTAGAAGTGGCCAAATTTTCAAAATGTGCCCAACTCTGGCAACTATGCACATAATTTTTTTTCAAGCAACCATGCTTATAACAGATTTTCAGTCAAGTTACATTGCCATTTTCATATGCATTCCTTTTGTTGTATTCCAATGACTTTTATTAGCAAATCTTGATATCTTTTGACTTAAATTCAATTTTAAAATAAGTGCTTGTGGAATTCACCAGCAGTGGAAGAAACAGAGGTACCATTTCTCAGGAATATAGTACAGTTCAAAATCTTTAATCCGGAATGATCTGTAATCCGGACCTCAAAGCTAGAAACTTTCTGTGCATCCATAGCATTTACACATGCGCATATGTATTTACGCATGCACATAATACCTTTATGTACGCACATAATACCTTTACGTATGTGCATATGCATTTACGCATGCACATAATACCTTTACGTATGCGCATATGCATTTACGCATGTGCATTTAATGTATAACGGACGATATAAGCTAGGCTAAAATTATCTAATAATCTATTTCAGTTAATGTTGCAGATTGCATTGTTCTTTAATCATCTAATTGGATCCAGCTTATTATTTTTTGCAGACTGTTAGAGCAATTTTATAAAAAGTAAGCTTGAACTTTCGATTATGTCAAAAGAGTTTTCCGATTCTGGGCTGCCAAAGATCTACAAGCGAAAGCATGTTTCAATGTCCATCAAGCAAAATTGGAATTGCTGCAAAAATGGATAAAGGCATGAAGAAAGTGACAAAGAAGTTAATGAAAATGAAAAAATTTTGATTGACAAGTTCGTCGGTATTCTCGGCACAGCAGTTACAGGACTTGAACAGCGGAACTTTGTAACTGAACAAGAAATTATGTCTGTTTATAGAATTAAAGTATTAGCTCATAAAATGAAGGAACTTAAACTTACATTGAAAGAAGTATTTAATTAAGTAAACAAATAAATATGAAGCTTTTTTTTTTTGTAAATTTTGATACCCTTTAGATCATAATTGCTCTTTATTTCATATTATGGTTTCATATTTTTAATTTTTATAATTCTGCAGGCCATCTTACCAGATTTAAACTGATGATCTATAATTCGGAAAAATTGATAATCCGGAATCGCCGAAGTCCTGACGAGTCTGGATTAAAGACTTTGTACTGTATTCCACTGCACAATCACTGAAGGGAACAATGATGAGATGTGCTTGGTGGATGCGCTGTGCATAAATGTCAAGTGTGTGCAGTTCTTTGATTTTTTTTAAGCGAAACTGGTTGATATGTACATGGTGAGAAAAATAATGAAAAAAATTATAGAATTTTGAAAAAAAAATTTATTTTATTTTTTCATTTATCATGTAATCCTTATATTATAGTTAAATCCAATTTAAAATATGCATTTTAGTTTGCTAAACATTGTTTTCTTTTGATATGCTGATAATGTTTGCCCAGTTATGATAAATATTGGTAATTTGGCAATCTTTAAAAAAATGGTGAAAATCACCAGTTGCACCAAGATGTTCACTTTAATATGTAAGTACTAATGTTTTTTCTACTTTTTAATGTGATTTGTTTAAATGCAGATGCATTAAGATCATGAGATGTCTAATTAAGAAGTAATATTTTTATGAAATGATACTAGCTGGAGTCATTGAAATCATTATATATACTTTTTTTTATGGTAACTATTTTAGGCATTTGGCTACACAAGCAGCTAAATTTTAAAGAAATAATATAGTGAATATATACTCTTTTTCAAAAAAAATCAAAGGACTTTTGCGATTGTGGCGAAATTTGGCATGCAAAAACATCTTGATCGAACATGCAAATGACCAAAGTTTCAAGGCAAATGAACAGGAATTGTGATCATAGTGCGCATTTCTAGTGTGCAATTCGCAAAGTGTAAAACCAGTAACAGAGGCGGAAAATTTATCTTTTTTTCTTGCTGCCATTGTAATTCCGTAAAGAAGCAACTAAAGATGCCATTACAATGATATCGAAGACCTTACAGACAACTAAACGACTTTGAACATGGTTGTATAGTAGGGTTGCGTGAAGCTGGGTGGTCATACTGAGCAACAGGCCGCCACCTGCAGCGTACAGACACTGTTGTGCAAAGATGTGGGCAGCAAGGTTGCTACAAGAAAATTGCCAATGAAATGAAGGCTCTGGAAGACCAAGGATCACAAATGCGAGGCAAGACAGGATGATTGTTTACCAGGCCCGAACCCCCCCCCCAACAGTATCATTGTCGACTATTCAATGTACTGCAGCCACGTCTATATCTCCCGTGGTACTGTCCACCATTTTACGGCGCTTGTGTGAGGCGGGGGTTACACTCACAGAGGCCTTGGCTTTGACCTCACAACATCGGCAGAGTCGTCTGGAGTGGTGTCGCAGGCGATCATCATGGCTGCCATCAGACTGGCGTCGTATAGTGTTCAGCAATGAATCTCGCTTCATTCTTGAAAGAGATGACCACCGTGTTCGTGTCTGAAGAGGACAGGGCCAGCGGTCCCAATCAGCCTTTTTTTTACAAAAGCATACAGCCATAAACCCTGGTGTGATGGTGTGGGGTGCTATTTCTTATGACAGCAAGTTATCTTTAGTCATCCTCCGTACATATTTAACAGCTGAACAATATGTTGAAATTGTCCTGCAGCCGGTTGCACGGTTGCATTACCCTTCATGGCACGTCATCCTGGGTCTATTTTCCAACAAGATAATGCCAGGCCTCATACCACTCGCATATCTCAGGACGTCTCTGTGTGGTTGATACTCTTCCTTAGCCAGCAGTATCACCAGACCTTTCACCAATGAGCATGTCTGGGACATAGTAGGCTGGCAGATTCAGGCACCGCAAAATATCCCAGATCTGGAGCGACAACTGAGGAATGCCTGACAGAATGTGTCGCAGGATGACATTAGGAACCTCTACCATGCCTTCCCTCGGGGAATTCAAGCATGCATAGGCGGTTCAACCAACTACAAATTTGAACATTTAGTGGGTGATTGTGAGCCATGAACTGGTACTTATGACCTTGATTTTTTAATCGTTTTATTATGTGTGTGTGAGCTATACACATATTCAATTTCATCAGATGGGGGCTTCGATTTTTTTTTTTTTTTTTTTTTTTTTTTTTTTTTTTTGCAAAAGAGTGTAAAAGTATGTATGACAACCTCTAACACTGTTGAGAATTCTAAAGATATGTTCTTTTAAAATATCTTGTTTCGGTGTTGAAATGAATTTTATGTGGTGTAGTGCGAAGAACGTGATGTTTGATAAATAAAGTTAATACACAAAATGGTAGAAAGACAAAAAAGTTTTATAGGAAAAA